GAGAGAGAGAGAGAGAGAGAGAGAGAGAGGAACACGCGACACTCATCGCATGTACGCGCGCGCGCGTGTAAATCAGCGCAGAGAAAAAAGGAGAGAGATAGATAGATAGATGTAGATCGGTACAGAGAAAAAAAGGAAAAAATGGATGGATAGATAGAGAGACGCATACTCATCGCGCGTAAATCAGTACGGAGAAAAAAGAAAAGAGGTAGAGAGAGGGGGGGGGGGAGAGGAGCGTAAGGACGCGGAAATTCCGGAACCGAAGTCGTCTCGGGAAAATTCTTGGCGCGATTTGTATCTGGTTGAGCGGGGGAGAGATGGACGAGAAAAAGAGGCGAGGGGGGGAGGGAGTTACGCAAGCGAATCGTTCGAATCCCGCCGAGAAATGTGTGGAAACGACCTAGAACCGGACGCGGTGTGTTTTCCTCCGCTGTCGGGGCAGTATACCGTTTCCGAAGATAGCTACTTTCTACTCGAGTTAGGCGTCACGGTGCAAGTACCTGTATTGTTGCACGACTTTCGAGAATCTGGCGATTGACAGCGAAAGGGATGACGTCTACGTAAGATACGAGGGGGAGTATCTGTTTCGATTCAGTTCATTTTTATATTCACGAAATGACGGAGAAAAGTTTGGCTTTAACCCGTTATTGTAGCAATGCAATTCGTATTCGATACTGATAACTTTTGAAGCGATCAATAATAACTAATTATGAATTATGAGGTAAGCAAGAATCGAATTTTTCAAACGGTGCATGTAAATTCATATGCGAGAATATGTTTTGTATTGTATAAAGAAATAGACACTGGACTATTTGATATTATACTGATAATTACTTGAATTAGAAACAAGCAAATAATTTCCTGTTTACTAAAATTGAATTATAATTAAACTAACATTAAATACATAATTTCTAAAAAGATATAAATGTAATTTACGTTTACAATCTATATCTAATTATTAATTGTGTATTTAATAGTAAATTGTTATTTAATTTTATATACAATGAACAGTATGAATGCTATTTTAGCATCAGAAATTCTAAGATATAACATTAAACATTAGCCATATATATATGTATAAAACGTATCGCTTGTCGAACGTCGCGCACTCTACTTTCCCGAGAAAGTTGATCGAAATTTCCCCATGCAGATTTTTCACTAGGTTAGAATTCAGAACGCGCAGCCGACTCTCGATCGTTCGCGGAAGAACGATGCTTTAATTTTCCACGGGCGTGTTGGTAACGCGCCACTTTCACGGCCGCGAATTTTTCCATCGAGTCGTCGAGTGTTCGGTGAAAAGCACCGGAAGCCCGCTTACCCTGTTGTTGAACCCGCGACCCACGCGCTCGTCGTTGACCCAGATCTGCCATTCTCCTGTACGGCCGTTCCAGCTTTGGCACGAGTGATACCACTTGTTCAATCGAAGCGGATAATTCAATCTGTACAAGTTGTGCCCGTCGATGTTCATCATGTAGTAGGAACTTCTCGGGCTGTTCGCCACCCAGGATAGGATACCGCGCGATTGATCTCCAACTTGAAACATAGTTCGAATTGAGAAACCTCGCAGCAAGACGAAAGTGTATTTTCAACAAGTTTACGAGGATCAAAGAAATTAAAAAATTAATTGAGGTACATTGAAATTTTTCAAATTTCGATTTATTTATCTAATTTACATCACTGAATAAAATATCTGAAGAAGATGCAAAAAAAATAATTTTAGTTGTGTATGGAAAAATGTTATGCACGAGCCGGAAATGACACTAGAAACTGCTTAACAAAGAACGTGTTAAACGTACCTTGGGAACGGGCAATTACGTCATCGTTATAGTGTATTTACGCACGATTCACGAGAACGCGATACGTGAGTTCGCTTGCGAAACGCGTTCCAAGGGAGGATTTCTCAGGAATCCGAGTTTGAGCGATTACGCGAGCCTCCGGTATTTCGAACAGACGGAATTTCATATCGGGAAACGAATACAAGGAGGCGGTAGAGCGGCGCGGTTTCGCGTTAGTTGAAGCTTCGAAAATCGGCCGAGACAATGGTGATTGTTCGTGAATCGACATAGTTAACGCTACTGATAGAAGGACTTTATTTTCGAGGAAATACCAAGTGATTCACTTTCGACTCGAAAAGCCTTTCGCTTTCTCGCGTCGTTTACTCGAGATAAAAAGAAAAAAAAGAGAAGAGGTGAAAGGAAAAAGGAAACGAAAACATGAATCTCTCACCTGCGTACGAAAACAGAGGATGATCATTGCTGTGATTGTAGAATTTGGTCCACATGCAAAGGGTGAACTCTTTCAAGTCGGGCAGCTCAATTTTGTAATGAATGTACTGGGGAAAAAAGTAACTGGTATAAGTACTTGTCAAATTTTTTTAATCTTAGTTTCTAAAGAGAAATTCTTGCGATCATTTATTATTAAATATCTCATTAAATTCAATTTTTACTTTCTCACAAAATCTTTTTTCATTTTTATGGCATGGTTAAATAAAGACGATTTGGTAACTTTATTGTAAATTGTGGGAATGATACGATACGAATAAGATTCTAGAATTTCATTCCTAATAGCCTATTCCATAATGTATATACATTCTAAATTGTTAAATCGTAAGAGTCTGGGATATGGGTTGTCTAGAATAATTCTATAATCGAGTCTAGTAAGTCATACGAGATAGAACGTTCTTTCACATTTCCGATACATATCTCCGTTTCCTTGGCCTTCGTATTATACGGTATCGTATATAATTGATTGTCCCGCCTTTCTTTACTATTATAAAATTATCGTAAAGAAATAGATTTTTAAATGTAGAGAATCGATTCTCAAATTTGGCTCTTAGCCACGAAATAAGCTGATAACTTCAGCCAATTCGTGAAAATATCTCTTCAAATAAACGGTTACCATTCGGCATTATTCGCCATCGTTCGGAACTATTCGTGACCACATACACATTAAGGTACTCACGCACCACCAAGCGGAGGTTTACGGAATGAAAATAATTCGAATCGCGTCCATAGGGAATATATCGTGGTCGAAGAATCGCGTGGAACGCGGCCCACGTTCAAGTGCATCGAACTGTCGCGAATCCATGGATTGCGGACAACGATCGGTTTCCATCATAGCCCAGCTATTATTCCTCTCGAATCCATTTCCTCGATACCTTAATTCATTCTCGTGGATCATTTACCTGGAGATTGAGAGAAAATTGAGGCGCTTGTGACAGTCGATTACTAACAGCATCGAACGGTTTAGTTGCGCAACGCTGGTGCGTAACCACCGAGTAGAAAATAACGGCAAAGACCTTGTTCTTGTGAAATGGTAAAATTTCGAGAGCGATCGTTATGTTCGAACTGAGATTCAATAATCGTGTAACGAATGATGTGTGTGTGTGTGTGTGTGTGTAAGAAAATTGATTGAGTCATTCTCACGTGTACTGTATTTACTATACGGGATAATTATATCCGTCTTCTTTGTTACGTGATACGTGTAATTTGAGGAAGTTTTTTTGTTGACACGTGTTTGCTTTTTTTATCAAATCGAGTGAACAGAATTGGCATCAAGATAAATAACTTTTGCCAGTAGAAAGCGAAAAACAAGCATAAGAGGACAATGTGGGAAAGGCAAATGGAAAAACATCTCGAGGTGCCAACTG